TAAGTATATAATATAAACTATATCTATTAATCTTTATAATATTAAATAGATATAATTCTAGAATATAATAAAGGTATTTATTAATCTAAAGGGTATAATTAAATACTTAAAGTAGCTATAATAAATATAGAATATAGTCTTTTACTTATTACCTTTATAGATATAGATTTTATAATAAGTATCTTTAATATTAATCTTTATAAAGTATTAAGCTCTTTTATAATAGTTTATAATTTTTAATATAAAGGGAAGTATATAATAATTCTTTATTAATATATAATTAAGGCTATAATAATTTATATATAGCTAAAGAGTACTATCTTTTTTAGGTATAAAGAAAATAAGTATATTAATTAAGCTCTTTAAATAATATATCTAGCCTTTTGCTAAGTTATTATTAAGGTATCGCTATAATTCCTTTAATTTAGTTTATAATAAAGGATATAGTAGTCTATATAATAAGATAGTATCTAAGAGGAGATTAATTATATAATCTATCTCTTTATATTATAATAATATATTTATATTAATAATATTAAATATATCCTTTATATATATAATCTCTTTAAGTAAGTTAATAATAAATCGCTTTAAATTTACTATATCTTTATTATTATCCCTTAATAATAAAGGTATAAAGTCCTCGTTTTATATTATTATATATACTTACGCTAAATTATAATATGCTTAAAGTAACTTTTATATCTTTAAGACCTTTATATTAATCTATTAATATTTAAATTATTATTATTAATCGATAAAGGTTAAGTAAACTTAATATTTTATTAACGTAAGTATACTTAATAAGATAGGGTACTTATTTAATTATAGGTCTCTATCGATAGTAATATATTAATAAGTTATTTTATATATCTACCCCTTACTATCTATTATAATTAATAAGACTTCTTAGATATTATATTAAGGAATATATAGTCCTTTTAGCGCTTTTAGTCTATAAGCTTTACTTAAAAGCTATTATAGTTATTATTTTTACGTAAAAGTAATATTAATTAAGTCTACCTTTAAGTATATATTAAAGCTTATATTAATCGAGACTTTATATTAAGACTATATCGTTATTAATATAATTAGGTATTTTATTGCCTTTATTTAAGGTATAATTATTAAGGTATAAATATTTACTTTAACTTTTAAGAGTTTTCTAATAATTTAAAGCTATCTCTCTCTTTATATAGTTATAAGTAAACCTTCTAGAAGTATCTTTCCTCTTTATAATTAAAGTAATACGATTTATCTTTTATTAATAAAGATATTAAAGTAGTATTTACCTTTATAGTTAAGGTAAATAACTTATTACTTTATTAACTATTTAGTCCTTTATTACTATATCTTTATTTAATAAATTACCTACCTTTTTATAAGCCTATATCTCTCTTCTTAATCTTATAGTCTATTAAGTCTTAGACTTATTATATAATTTAAATAACTAATTTATATATCTTATTCTTAATAAATATCTATAAGTTAATCTAGCGTTATAACTTAAGCTATAATTTCTTAAAGAAAGTAAAAGTATAGTTTATTTTATTAATATATTTAAAGTATTTCTTTATAGAATTTAAGTAAATATTAAAGTCTATAAAGGATTAGTTTTTTTATTATATTATATTTTACTTTTAGGCTATAAGGATTACTTTATAGTTAATAGAGTCTTAAAGGAGTATATAGGTTTACTCCTTAAAGTTAGGCTAGCTAGCCTTAATTTATTCTTATTAAATCGCTAGCTATTTATTAAGATATTAATCTTATCTTACCTTTCTTTCGCAATATATATAGTTAAGGGTAAAGATAATCTTCTTTTTATCTTTATAGAATTTATATAATACCTTTATAAATACTTATTTAATATCTTATAATTAATCTTATTATTACTATAAGTTAATTAAATACTTTAACTTTAAGAAGTTTATAACCTTTATTTTATTACTTTTATTATTATTATTCAATAAGTTAAGGGTATTTTATTTCTATTTCTATAATATAGCATTAATATAGCCTATTTAAGTAAAAGACTTATATAATTCTTTTTCTCTTACTTAAAGAGCTTAGAGCTCTTTAAGCTACTTAATATAGGCTTAGATTACTTAAGCTTATTCTTTAATAAAGATATCCTTTAAGGTAAGATCTTAATTAACTAGAGGTATACTTAAGATTTAAGTCGAGTTACTTACTAGCTCTTTAAGAAGGTTATTTCTTAATAATATATTAATACCTTTATATAGTCTTAATAGCGCTATTATTACTCTTAAGTAACTATAATAAAAGCTTTAAGAATTATAATAATAATAAGTCTTATAGATTAATTAAGTAAAAGAGGTAATAGCTATATAGTCTAGTAGCTATTATTATTATTACTATAAGTTAGAGATTAAAGCTTAAAGGTCTATATAGTATTTCGCTAGTAACTCGCTAGAGGTATGCCCTAGCGAGCCGGCTATTATATATATATTATATAGTTATTAAGGCTTTAAGTCTAGCTAACTATTATAAGGCTATTTTATTTTAAGAGGCCTATAATAAGGATATAGCCTTAGCTTCTTATATTCTTTAACTCTTTATCCTATATATACTTATTATACTAGTCTTTTTAATATATATACTTAGTTATATCGCGATTATTCCTTTAATAGCGGTTATATTACTAACCGCTACTTAATAGCCTCTTCGGTATTAGCGTTAGCCTAAGCGTTATATTTAATACTAACTATTATATATAATATTAACGCGATATCTATAAATACGCTTATATTATATATAAAACGAAAAGGCGATTTTTAGTAATACTTTAAGCTAATAGCCCGAGCTAACGTTAAAAATTATAGCTTATATAAGACGCCGCTAACTTTCCGCTTAAGGCTTAGGGCACTTTTAATAGAGATAAAATACTAAGTAGTATCGACTAATATTAAGGCTATACTAACGTAAGCTAACTATAAAAGACTTACTTTATAACTTAGGTTATAAATAAGTAGCCCGGGCTCGGTTTAGAGGTAGCGGATAAGGAGGGCTAGGCTAAATAGGCTATATAGGCAGCTGCCTATAGGACGCTAGGACTGGTCGGTTATTACGATAAGCTCGCTATTCGGCGTTATAGTAGCGTGTTGCGGCCGGGAGGCGGCATTTAGCTGGCATTTAGCTGTGTGTAAGTGAATTTCACTAAGTAAAACGCATATAAAGTCAAACCCCCGCGCTATTACAGCTCTTATCTACGCGTCCGGAACAAACCTGTCTTACTTCGACGCTCCCTACGCGCCTCGGCCGTCTCTGACGCGCTGTGCGTGCCTGCCTTATACCTGACTCTTTGACGCGCCGCTTCTCTCGTACTACGCGAAACGCTCTTCCGCGGACCCTGCGGCTCCAATCGTAGTGCTGACGCTATTGCTGTAAACCCGCGGGTGTCGCCTCGGTGCCGTATAACTTGCTTTATCGTACCTGGCGTTTCATGACGCATGTTGCCGCTTATTTAACACTATAAATACGTGGACGGCCTCTCTTTCCGCCGAACGGCTTAAACCACGCCTCCGTTTAGCTTTTTCTGTGTTCGAAACGTATATGCGCTGCGGACTTTTTTTTTGTGTGTATGTATGTCGTTGCCCTGCCTCGATTCCCCGCGTGTCCCGCCCGGTGTGTCCTACCCGGTACCCGCTACAACCTCGACGAAATGACACATGCACGCTACAATTCGCGCTGTGGCGGCCCTGAATCCGTATTAAAAAAAAATAAAAAAAATAAAAAAACCATTGAACCCTTTTTCGCGACCTGAATCTGCCATTTGCCGCGTGAAATCCGCCTGGGGCTGCCTACGCTCACGTCCGGCTCATCTATGCTGCTGCGTGTCATCTGGCTTGCCTCACCGCAACTTGACCTTTTCCACTCTTGCTCGTCCCTCTCGCTTTTCCCTACTTCATTCCAACACGTGGCCTACGTAATTCGCGGTGTACCTACCTGTGCTTGCGCTTATCGACGCGTATTGCTGCCGATACGGCCCTCGGCATGCATATCAATGCAAACTCGATACGATGCTTGATGCTTGACGCCTCAACCGAAATCCCACGCCGTGCGGTGTTCTCGAATACTGCTCTCGATCGTTCTCGACTCTCTGTATGCCACTGCCGTTCATCGAATCGACGGCCGGCACTACCCCGCGCGCGCCCCACGACCGCCGCTGACGACCGTCGGCGGCGACCCATTCCCGGCACACATCTCATGTAACACGACTATCGCGCTACGCGCTCGTCGGCATTCCTGACGACTGTGCCTATGATGTGCCGGCGTGATCACCACCTCCGGGTGGCCCTATCCGCTCGTTCAAACGCCTCCTCGCCTGCGGTTCCGAATGAACCGCGCCGCCGCTTCCTCCCCCCGACCCCGATCCGCCCCGCCCCGCCCACTTGAGGGTGTAGCCGGGGCTAGCCCCATCCAGTATAACTGGATGGACGGGGTTCGGAGGCTACGAGAAGCCGGGCTTCGCTGTTGGGGTTGCTTCGAGCAACTTGTCTTCTTTACGCCATGCGGCGGGAGGTGGGCGTCCGAGGAGACGCGGTAGGACCTTGGTGCGATGCCCGCGGGACGGGCGGGGAGACTGGCATGGTGAGGCAGTCGAGGACGTGATGAGAGACATCACGCGTGACGAGTGGGACGAGACGCACTGGAACGGAAGGGTATAAGAGGCCGGGACCTCGCCTTGGGGTTTGCGCAGGGCAAACGCGCCTCCTCTCCTTCTTCCCTCTGTTCGTCCTGGACGCGGACGTTGAGCCGGTGCACATCGGTCGTGCACGCCCGCCCCTTTGCCTGGAGCCTACACCAAGGAACAACACCTGTGTGTTTTCCCGCTACGCCACTGTCCGGCAGACGCGACTGGGGACACCTGGATGTCCTTTCCGCCACCACGTTGGGAACGGGAGGCCTCGAGGGCCGACGCGACACCCATTGACCGTCTAGTGAGAGTCACTACGCCGCTTGCATGGGCCTTGGTCATGCGGTACATGGCCGACCGGGACGAGTCGCACACACACCCCGCGGAGGGGACGGCTTCGGCAGAGAAGCCGGAACAGATGGCGTCTCCCTTGGAAAGCGACCACACGGCGGGTCGCCCGCCTCCGCAACCAGTTGCCGCTGAGCATGGCGCTACGACCGTCCCTGTGGACGATGTCGCGGCCGGGACGATTGTGTTTGACCCGGATCGGTTTTGGTGCAAGGATGCGCCGTGTTTGGAGGTTGGTGAGCGTGTTCACCCGGTGGTGACACTGGCCTGTGTGGGCGTGATCTCGTTGAACGAGTGCTGGGACCGCCTGCAATGGGACGCGAGTGTGGAGGCGGACGCCTACGTCAGCGACAGCCACTTCACGGTGGAGTTGTGGTTTCGCAGCATTTCCCCGTTGATCGGGCCGATGACCTACCGCGAGGTGGAGTGTGCCGTGGAACACTATCTCGGCTGGTGTTCGGCGTCGGGTAGCAGCATGCCGGCGTGGAAGACGAAGGTGGCGCATAAGACCATCGCGCTGGTCCGGCCGCAGTGGTTTGAGTTGGCGCGCAGACAGTCTCTGTCCAAGATTCGGCCGTGTGTGAAGCAGGTGATGCGTGCTACGCGAGGGTTTCGTTGCCGAACCCCGTGCCGAGGCAAGGCGGAGGATGGATGACGGGCGACTGTGTACTGCACGGGCAGTGTGATAGGATAGTGTAGAATAAGCGGTTGTTGTACCGGTGTTGTGCCATCGTGATGTGGTGTTGCAGAGTCAAGGCACCAAAGTAGCTACACCAAGTGACTGTTCCTTTTCCAGATGGTAGGCCTATACTTCCCGGCTACCAATAGACAATCGCACCCCCGGAGGGTTACGCTTGGCATCGTAAGATGACCGCTCTTGGCTTACTCTCCCCTTGTGAGCAGACTGGAACCGTCCCTGCAGCAGCGGACGGAGCTTCTCCCCATGGAGCCCCCGCGCGACGGAGAAATGGAGTGCTTGCACAGCCCGTGCTGCACGCACCCTGCCTGTGCTCCCTTGCGGGAACGTGCCTTTTGCGCAACGTGGTATTTCTTGCGCTGGGTATCACCGGAGGCTGTGATGCCTTCCGACATGCTGCGCGAGCTGCGGGGGCGATTGAACAAACGTCCCTTTCGCTATAGTGCCTCCATGGTGGGCACGGGTGTCTATTACATTCTCGTCAGAGTGAACCCGAATCCCTTTTCGCCCAGGGCGATGCAGCTGCTTCCTGATTCAACAGAACCACACTTTACTGGCGGTGGCACCAACTGCCTGGCGTGGCATTTGCGATGTTGCCGCGATGCACTCCTCGACGTGCGGGTTTGGCTGAAGGCCTTGCAAGAGACTGACGACAATGTTGTCTTTGGTGACGGGAATCTACCACAAGACTTGCTCGCCGAAGTGAGTGTGACGGATGGAGCGGATGGTGAGATATGAGAAGCCGGGGGTTTCTCTCCCGCTGTGGGCTGCATCTACTTTACCCAATTGGGCACTCACGATGGCTTCATTCCACGTGGGCCGCACAAGCACTTGATCCTTTTCCAGATAGCGAGCTGTCGCTCAAGCAATCTACCTCGTATGATAGCCCCCGGAGGAATGTCAGAGTTATGATCACCACCCGTAGGGTTGCGCGGATGAGCGGAGCGACGGGCGGCGTTCTCCTGATGACCCATAGTGATTCTGATGCGGAGGCGGCAGGAGAGCGGCAAGCACTGCCAATAAAGTAGCGACCAAAGGGAGTGTCAGATATCGTAGAACGATGTCGAGCGTGAGCGAGGCGGAGTGGACAACACTCGGAAGAGTGACCTCGACCGTTAGGGAGGGGGAACGTGCGACAAGAGGATCACACACGAAGGGCACAACGACCGGAAGGGAGTTGGGACCACGTCAAGTGAACGAGCACGGGATGCTCTTGCCTAACAAGAGTGTCACCTTCCCAGGTTACCTTGATGCTGAGTGACATTGGGACGCTAATCTCTATGTTTGGTCTATAGGGTCCCCTGGCCCCCTATTAGGATAGAAGAGGCGCGAGCGAGATTCACAAGTCATTATGCCAGAGTAGATGATGTGCCTGCTATGGACGAGGATCTCATATAAGTGCCACCTAGCAAGCTAACACCAAGAGACTACCTGGCCCACCTGCCTTGACACCTCTCTAGAACCTGGAACCAGCCGGTATTCAGCCAATTAATGTCCTCCGAACGAACATTGTCCACCTCAATCCGGCTTCGGAGGAGAAGTATGTCTTCCTGACAGCGCCTTGTGGCGTACAACGCCCCGCAGTGTCCTTTGACAAGGATATTCCAGATCCATCCTGCACCAAATATGCAATCGACGAGCCACGCAAACGGTGTGAGCTTTGCTGAGAGGAACATAAAAGTCATGGATAATGTGATCCTATCATGAAACCATCAATCGCAGAACCTCAAAGGAGTGGAAGGCAAATGACTGACCCTCCCATTGCGGTCACATCTTCTGTCTGATAATTGACAGCCGGCACAGCTTGACGAAGGAACGCGTCCATTTGCGTCAAATCTCGAATCACACTGTCGCGGAGGATTTGAACTCGAATGGGCCGTCTCCCGTTGTCGTCAATCCTGACCACTATGGCACTCGTGGATTAGCGTGGTCCGCCTTCCACTCAAAGTTCATAATCAAGAATAGTACGCACGTTGCCCATTGCCGTTTTCTATACCCCTTGTGTGCTGCTCGGGTCGTGCATCGCCACGGTATCTGAGGGTGACATATTTGTTCAGGTAATAGTCCGCAGACTTGCGTGCCGCGATATAACCGAGCCATGGGTCAATTGCATTGTTTTCGTTGAAGTCTGGCCGCATTGGAACAACATTATTTCGGAAAGGTATCATCTTGGGTCAAGCAGATATTCGTGCTGTTGTCGGAGCAGCTGCACAGTATGGCTCATTTGCTTCAAGTCTGAGCTTTGTAGGACAGGATTCTATAAATGTGTCCCTGTGCGGCACAGGGAAGAAATCGTGCACCAATTGTATTCATGGTCCATCGGCGGCGATGGAACAACCAAGAAGATTCCGACGCGTGGTATGAGGAATGTGAGATCATGCCGCGTCGCGCCATGTTCTAGACATGGCGCGATGTGGAATGAGCATATTCCTGCTGCATTTCTTGAGCTTCTTGGTCAACAAATATTGCCGGCGAAATAAATCTCTGCGACTTTCAACATAATTCACTCTCGCCTTGGTTCTTCAGGTTTGTGCTCATCACACTCGTTCACCCAACATGTCGGACCCCGAAAAACAATCGATGATCGGCGCTGGCACAGATGAGCCTGAACAAGGCTCTCAAAGCCCTGTGGAACTGGTGCTCGAAGTATGGTACTTCGCTGATCAAGGCTGGAGCAGCCTAGCCAACCACAGACTCGCACAGATGTTCAGAACCCCGATCACAGATGGAATAGTGCAGCAATTGGGCTGGGATATTCATGAACACGAAGCTCACAACGTCGAAAAAAGACATGCTCAGGACAAGTACGTCACGGCGCAGGTACGTTATAGATCGCCATCTCGATTGCCCGCTTGAAGACGGCTTCCCACCCAGTGTGGCCTCGTGCATTTTATTAACTTGTGATCCGAGGTCATATTCAAAAGCAGGCAAGTTTGTGAGAGCAGCAATGTGAATGAATTGGAGGCACAAGCCCGCGTTTTGTTCAGGGAGATTGCCCCGGATGTTATCGTGAGATTCCTCGGCAACCTGTCGACACGGCCCTGCTCCATGCGAATCGATCGCACCCACGTCTGTGGTGGAACTGCTGGGGATTTTTTTGAGATCGCGAACCTGGATCGGGAACACTTTACTAGGAGAAACACGGAAGTATACCGGCGGCTTGTGCAGGAACATGAAAAGTGGCCTACACTAAGCGCTATCCAAGAATTCTTGGATAAGGTTAGTGCGCCACCTGCTCGAGATGCGTTGGTTGCGACCGAGCTAATTGATCTAGTTGAACGCTGAATTCGAAAAGGATCTTGCCGTCTCTGCAGTGTTCGAAAAGCAGGACTTTAACGAAGCAAAGGCGCTCCGGATCACAGCTGCTAAACCGGACGGGTTGAAGCGATCGCTCTCTCGTGATCAAATGGAAAGGCTACGCAAAGGGAAAGGTGAGCTTACGAATCGCCACTCACTCTCAAGACTACTTAGCACAACGCCACTGACTCTACGCGTTGTAGCTCTGAGCAATCAGGAACTGTACCAATTCCTCCAAGACTGGCACGTGATGAGGCGATGCCTCCGACTGCAGAAGCTGGGGTTTATGGATGCGACGGACTGGCTGCTGACGGAATACGAGCGTGGCACGGAGAATCCCAAGAGAGTGGTTCTGCTGGGAGGAGCCGTCGTCGTCGCCGCCACTTGCTGGTGGAATCCAATCGGCTGGGTCCTCACAGCTTGTGTTGCGGTTGTTGAAGCGGGGGCTGTCCTACATGTCCACGGTAACCCGCATCTTGTGTCAAATGCAGCAGCAACTAGGAAAAATGTCGACAAGGGTGAGACACCACCCGTTCCTCAAGCCAACACTCTACAGCTGCTAACATTTCCCAGTACGCGGCGAATGGGCCGCACTGGAAATTGCCCTGCACCATCACGGAGTTGCGCTTGCTGCCGCGTTGTGCTCACAAATTCACAAGAAGCGCCTCGATGAGCTGCCTTCAGCTCAGAAGAGGGACTTCCTTCAGGGTTACGGCATCGACGTCAGCTCTTTACAGAACAAAAATTATTGCGAAGAGCTTTACAAGACTACTTCCCAGGCATTACTTGATCGACACGATAAATTCACCGACGTGGCAACATCCCTGCCTGCCGTAAGCGCAGTAGGCAAACTGGTAGGCGCCAGTGCGACTTAGTGCGTTGCACCTCTATGGCATGACGGAAAGTGGATGACTCCATGGCAAGAAAGAAAGTGGACAACTCCATGATACTCAGCGCTGGCCTCTACGCGATAGGAATAGAAACCGAGACATTCTACCTCGATCTACCAGCGGTCGTTTACTAGCCTCCAGAAACAACCGGTGAGGGCAAGTGGTCAAGCTTCTGTGTGGAATCCGAGCTATGGGGTGTCTAGGGTTCAGGTTTGGGCAGCGATGGCGGTGTTCTGTGGATTGTGATTGCCATAGTTCCCATAGCCACGGCACAGTTGCAGGCATATGGCTGCTGCCCAGCCGGCGCGGTCTGCCCACGGCGGCCTGGGTGTGGCCGCGGATTTTCGCCCCCGGGGGCAAAAGGTGGCGGGTCCGCAAAGCATATAGCTTGCATTCTGTGACTTGTCCCTGGCCAAATGGGCGTAGACATTTTCACCCCCAAGGGCAAAAAAGGTCCACATTCGACCGCCTTGCCCACGCCTTCTGACGCCGTAGACCTAGCTCTAACCAGACAGCCATCCGCGTCTGGGACGCTACGAAAATAGGCTATACGCAGCACATGTCGGCCGATTTCAGATCTTGATCCGGGACCGGACCGCCATACCGACGCGGCTGCGTAAAGGTGAGAAGCGACTGACAGTGTTCTTCCCGCCCACTGCGCCGCCGCAGTCATCACGGGAGGGCACGTCCGTGTTGCTCCAGCAGCAGGTGGTCGAGCTTGTGCTGGAGCATTTGGCGGTCTTCAATGTGCCGAAGATGAGGGACTAACTCAAGGATGGAGACCCGGACAACGACCTATATGCGGCTCGTTCTTGACGAGGACACATGGGCTGGCGTGCCCAAGATCGTCCGCTGGCATGTGAGCGACTTTCGGCCGCAGTGGCTGGCGATGGAGGGCAGCTACGACAGACCGCCAGAAGCTGAGCCATCAACGCAAGCGGTGTTCCTGACAGACATGCTTTGTTCCGGTAGTCAAACGGGCGCGGAAGGTAGGGTAGCCTCGCCGAGCCCCCGTTTATTGGTGGAGATAACCGTTGTGGTGGTAGCCGCCTTCCGTGTATTCATTCGTGGCGGCGCCGTCCGCGCGTCGTCGTAAGCAAATGTTTCATGCGCCTTCCCAATCGCCCTGCTGTTGTAGCAAGGTTAGCCGGTGTTGTACCCGAACCGACGGCTTCAGGGGAACTTGGCTCTAAAGCGGTTGACGCCTCAGCCCGTTGGCTCGCAGGGTCAGTTATTGGGTTGTCGGGTCTGTTCTCCGCCCCGACTTGATACAGTTCCAGGGAACGGAGTGACCATGCGGGAATGGCTTGCATCTTGTATGCAACCAATTGTCGTGCTGACAAGCACGGGCGGGGTGGCTGCCCACGTGATTAAATCACTTACCAGAGAGGTAAAAGAGCGGGAGCTCGAACGTTTTTTGCGCAGAGCAAACTTCCTTCTTTAAATATTTTGTTTCCAACACCGTCGTGGACGAATTTCACGAGAGTGATTCCTTGGCATTGCCAACTCCTTACTCCCAACCTGGGGTCCCGGGCCCCTACACTGTGAGCCAGTTTTGGAACATTGTTCCTCTATCACTCCGCACACGGACACATGGTGTCTTCAACGGGATCGAATCCCGCCTTTGGGTGAAGCATCTCGCTAAACCCAACACAGTCAAGCAACCCGGAGGAGGTTGCTATCGATTATCCCCGCGACTGGAGAGAGAGCAAACACTCCAACAATCGAGACATGGTTGTCGAGGAGGCGCCGGTGGGGCACGTTCGCCCCATGACCTGGGGGGCCGGGGCCATTGACTCCCGCTTTCCTGCCGGAGGCGAGATCCGATGATCTCTTTACTTGGTCACGTAAGCGACTTTTGGAGCCGGGCCGGTGCCCATCTTTACCCTCGGCCAGTTTTGGCACGTGGACACTTTGTGTACCGAGGCGGAGGCCCCGTACTGCATGGTCGTGTATTTTGTGCTCGAAGCTGTCGAGGACATGCACATCTGTTGGAAACAGTTGCAGAGTGGTCTGGCGGTGAATGCCACGACGTACCATTCCAAGCCCGAGGGTGGGCGCGACGGCCGTTTTTGTATTGCACTGCTGTTCAGTGTGGCTTCTCCTTTGGTGGGACCGATGTCATATGCCGAGTTGCAGCGAGCTGCGGAGCATTACTTGGGTTGGTGTTCCAGTCAAGATGGTGAGAACCCGTGGTGGAATCCGCGACGCCAGTCCGTTACCGTTGAGCTGGTGGAGCGATCGGCGGTGAAAGAGTGGATGTCCCAGAGACAGTGTGGTGCCCTTTCGGATACCGAAGAGACGATCAGTTGTAGAGGACTAGGCTTCCGGTGCCGCACGCCTTGCAAGCCGTTTACGGTGAAAAGGGCTTCGTAATGAGATTGTGACCGGGCGACAGGGGGAGCGAGACGTATAGTTGTAGAGAGAGTACGGCGTGTAGTAAACAAAGCTCTTGGCTGCCAATAGACCTTGAATAGTGATTGTTGTAGATGCGGATGGGCCAAGCTTGAAGACTATTATGTCGAAACGGACCGCACTCCCGTCTACCATGCGGCTCTAGCGCTGCATCCATCGTATGGGTATGACTACTTGGAGCGGCACTGGACAATCGCGATGGACAGGCCGCGATGGTACAGCGACATGCAGTCGGCTGTGGGGAGCATCTTCGAATAATACGCCCGACAGGCTGAAGTTGAAACGCAAGCTCAAGCGGGGCTCATAGAGAGTGAATCTGGTGATATTGACGCCGGCGCCGACGACTATAGTTCCTTTGGGAAAAGGTCAATCAGCTCATTGAGTACACAGCGCAAGATGGCCAAGGCCGTCAGCGAGCTCGACCTATTCCAGGCACGGCCTATTTATCCCACAGAACTCGACGTTGCCAACCCGATTGAATGGTGGAAGCAGCACCAATTGGAATATCCAGTGTTGTATCAGATGGCGTTAGACCTGTTCTCCATTCCTGGCATGAGTGCTGAATGCGAGAGGGTGTTCGGCCAGACAAAGAAGATGATCACAGACGAGCGCAACCGACTAGCACCAAAGGTGATCGAGGCAGATCAACTGCAAAAGCACTGGCTCATGAGGGGTTTAGTAGTGTAGTAATGAATCTTCGTGTTTGGGGAGAGTGCTGCTTTCAGGTTGTTCCGGCATCACGTAGTGAGTCACTTTCGGCAATACGGTAGAACGTCGGGATCGGACTGTCGGGCCAAGACAGACCGGGCTGCTGAAGCCAGACAGACCCAGACCGACAGACCGAAGGGGTCGGTCTGGATCGGTCGGTCTGTTATCCACACTGCCTCCGACGCCATGTGGAGCGAATGACGGTTCAGCTGGGTCTCGTAGCAACAATCACACTCCTTGGCCAGCGAGTCAAGGCTGCGGACCATATCCCCGTCGAGATCCCAAGCGACAGAAATTGGAGAGGTGACTGTTCATGAACGCGACGGAGTCTGACATAGCTGCCACGTTAAGAGCTGACGTGGCAGCTGGGCTTTGGAGAGGCCCCGCAGTGGGTTGCCCGCCACGTGGCGAGTGCGATGCTCGCCCGTATTCAAACCCTGCCAGGTCATCGGGGGGTCCAATGGCTGATGCGTTGATTCACCATACGTATAAAACCATCTGTTTAACCCTTGCGGCACCCGAACAAGGCTGAGGAAGTCAAGACCCAACAACGCCTAAACAGCACACGAACATGGTTTCTGCATTGTATTTCGGCACCGACGCGGCGACAGGACTCTTGCGAATGCTGTTCGGTCACCCAGACAACTTCGATGACAGTCTCCTCCTTTTAACAATATTGGACATCGCATTCGGGCAATCTAGGCAACACCAGTGGCTCGGACCAGCGTGGACGAATGCTTTGCGGCCGCACAAGGTGTACGAATTTCTTTCAGCGGTCGCAAATGGCTATGGACTAGAATGTACTCATTTTCTCGAACATTTCCGTTCCAACATTGAACGGGTGGTGAGAGACTGTCCGGCGCTGCTACAAGGAGAGCTACGTCGAAATGATTTGGTGGATATTTTGGAAAGGTGTGAACGCGAAACGAGCGATGATGGCTGTCTCGTGATTGACGGCTACTTTGATGAGTGTATTGAACGGGATCTAGAGTCGCCGTTTGACCCGGACTTTCAGAGCGACGACTACCACGATCATACGGACAGACTTGAAGTCGATGAAGGGTATGCAGCGATAACAAGAGAAAACGCAGAGATAAGGGAAAGAAGATCCCAGGAAAACAGAACATTGGGTAAGGCGGTCTGGGCTGGCCTGTTCCACCAAGCTCTTGCGGTCGCTCTCTCGGGGCCAACGGCGCAGTTCCGAATCGACCAGACAATGCATTGATTCTGAACTCAATTCTCAAAATACTTCGCACTTTGCCGTTGTGCGAGGATCTTGCGCGACTCGATAAGCTTGTTCTGCAGCGTATATAGGGCCATTCCGGTTTCGCACGAGACCCGGTCGAGTATGTAGGGCGTGCGGTGTGTGTCTGGCTCGTTGCGCGGCAGAGGTTTCGTGTTTGGGTGAACTCGTGCGCCCCAACCACTCCTATACTTCTATTATTTTCCACCGATGGGAGCGGAGCTGAGACGCAACGACAGGAAATTGAGATGGAGAGACCGGCGGAAGACACCTAACGAACATAGAGTAAGATGGGGAGAGCGGTAGAGGTAGGACCGGATACGGATGTAAAGTAGACGTAAGGTTAGCATTAAGACGTTTAGTAGATACTCTCGTCGAATACTACGCCGAAAGCGAATAGCGACCTTAAGACGGTTACCCTAAGACGTATACCTACTATATATCTTTAAGGAAGGGAGCATATTCCGGTACGATAAGGTAGAGGCGCGTTATTTAACAAGATACGATAGCTCAACGCCCAGCTTAGCGAAAGGCGCCTCTTCCCGCTACGGGATAAGGATCGGGCGGACCCGCATACCTCTATACTTAGCAGTAGCGAGGCCGCCGCAGTAGTAGGCTATTCCTTATTTAAATCGGCTGCTTCTATAGAGGCGTTTTAGGCAGACCTCTATAGCACTATGACTGTTACCGTTAACGGTTAGTTTAGCCGGACTGAGCCTTACTACCCGCTTAGGGAGGATCTTTATACGCTCGTACTAGCTTTTAATGCGCTTAAGCCCTTATATAGACCGATAAGGCGAGATCGTACGTTACTAGCGGTATAGCATTATCTCGCTTAGTATCTATTTAAGAGGTAGAATAAGCTATATTAACGGCATTCCATAGATATATTCTTAGAACTTATGCCTATCGATACGTACTAGCATTAGTTCGCTATACGATAAGTAATATTATTGCCCTATATAAAGTAAAGTCGAGTAATAAGCTAAGGATTTAATTATAGGGGGGTATACTAAAGTAGCTAGAGAGCGTAAAGGCCTTTATATTATAGCTTTATTAATTACGAATAGTTTCCTCTTATAACTTTTTATTATATAAGGTGCTTTATCCTCTCTTCTTTAGTAATATTATATTATACTAT